ACTAGATGCTGGTAGGCCATGGTCTTTCCTTTAAAACTGGCCGCTAACAGAATATCCTTATTGTCAACAGAGACCAGGCTGAAGCCTCGAGGCGCGAGCATGTTGAGTTCCTGGAAGGGCTGGAATCTTTGAGTGAGCTCATCCCACAGGTAGATCCGAGAGAAGGAATAATCGCTGCCCAGCAGAAGGTACTGCCTCACTCCGACGCTGAACGGATACACGGCCATTGAGCCACGTGACGGCAGGGTTTGAATCTCTACGAAGCGTTGGTTGTCCCAGCGCAGGATCTTCGAGTCTCCTATGAAGCGCGTGAGGCAGAGATACAGCACTTTTCGTACCCAGAAGTGCTTCACCATCTGCACGTCGCCTGAATAGGTCATCTGCAAATGGTACTCAAATTGGCGTTGGCTGCGGTTCCACTGATACACCACCGGGGACTGCGAGGTGCTAGAGAGTATGAGACGAGGTTTGCCGTCCACCTCTAGGAAGTCGATGTGAGTGTCTCTGTGCCAGGGATGGAGGGACTGGTGTGAGTAAAAGCCGTTACTGTTCCAGCGGTACAGACTGGTGAATCCGGCTTTGGAGCCGTCAACTACAGCAAAATACCAGTCTCCTTCGATCTGGAAAGTCTCAATGAAGTTGGGTTTACGAACACGGGTGGTGTCGATGTCCTGGATTTTGACAAAACGCAATGGACCTTCCTCCCATCTGACAACAACAACAGGATGTCACAATGATGTCATGACGATGATGAGGATCACATAGAAACAGATATTATGTAAATCGAACTCCTTGAGATATTGAAACAAGATATTAAATACATTTGCATTCAGTGGTTTGGTGCTAATTTAAAATGTTTTACATGTTAAGAAATAAAATGTGTTTTTGTGAAGAGTCAACTGAATGGTGTACACTCACATGAGATGAAGACTGTACTTATTATAGTTTTCTATAAAATAGTGTTTTAATTGGGCTATGTGTTGCAGGTCACCCTCTATGGAAGTTTATTTCCACTATGGAATACAAATTTTAAAAAGGTAATTGCAACTGGTTTTCTCACATTTCCAAGGTTATATCTCATAATTCTTACTTTTTTCCTCAGAATTGCAAGTTGTGAACTCTCAATTGCAAGTTTACGCCAAGGAATAAAATCTCTCAGAATAGTGAGATATAAACTCATAACTGTAAAATGTAAACTCTGAATTGGAAGAAAAAAAAAAATCTGAATTCTGAGCTTATATCTCGCAATTCAGACTTTTGTGAGACAAAATGTTGCTTTTGCCAGATATAAATGGTTCAAACTGTTGTAAACTTTTCTTATCAGAATTGTGAGTTTATATCTTGTAAATATTTTTTATTTTTTTTATCTTGCAATTCTGAGAAAAAGTCAGAATTGCGAGAAAGTCAGATTTGCTAGAAAAAGAAGTTTTTGTGAGATATAAACTCAGAATTGTAAAATGTGAACTCGGAATTGTGAGAAAAAAATGTCAGAATTCTGAGTTTATATCTTGCAATTCAGACTTTTTTCTCTGCGAGTTTATATCTCACAATTCTGTATTTATATCTCACAATTGTGGCTGGGTGGATAGATTTGATGACAAAGTAAATCCCAAGAACCGATGCAAAAGTTGTTTGTTGGACAGATAAAGGAAATAATTATTGTGTAGATCACTCTCTAAAACTCACAAGTTTAAGTGTAATTTACATAAAACTGATGATCATGATGATCCACGTCAATAGATGGCACTGCAGTGACTGATGATAAGACT